AAATAGATGCCACTCAATTCGCCACGCGGCACCGCCAGGGGGGGGCGAAGCAACTATTTTCCACGGTATTCGTCACGTGGCGATGCCGCTTGGGGCCGAAACGAAAACCCACTCCACTTGCCACGTGGCAGCCTGGAGGCGCGAAGAAACAGTAGTCCATCCACTCTGCTTGTCACGTGGCAGCGCCGCGGGGGCCGAGACAACAAACTATTCCACTCCATTCGTCACGCGGCAACGCCGCGGGGGTCGACAATAATACTATGCCATTCCACTCGCCACGTGGAGACGCCTGTCGGCGCGAAGAAATCGTATTCCATTCTAGTCGTCACGTGGCAGCGCCGCGGGAGCCGAAACAGACACTATGCCACGATGACGGCGACGAGGAAGACGACGAGGACGACGAGAACGACGACGACGATGATGATGATGATGACGACGACGACGACGACGACGAGGGCCAGGGAGGCGAACAACAATTCTATCCTATTCTCCTCCTCGTCCTTCTCCCTCCCCCTTGTCTCGTCCCTCCTCCATTCTCCCTCATCCTTTCTTCCTCCCCCATCCTCCCTCCTCGACATCCCCTCCTCCCACCCTCCTCATTCCTCCTCCTTCTTCCTCCCCTCCTCTCTACCTTCCTCCCTTCTCCTCCCTTTTGTCCTCCCCCTCGCTCGCAATTTTTACTACAATATAATATTATAATATACGGCAGATGCAATACCGATTCAACGCAATGCAATGCATGCAACGCAACAAAATCGTTGGTTGACCGGTTGGCCGGTGTGTTGGCTGGTGGCTGGCCGGTCGGTCGGTCGGTAGATCGGCTGGTTGGCTGGCTGATTGGGCGGCAGCCGCGTGGCAGCGCGACTCTGCTCGTTGCGTGGCAGCAGCCGCGGGGGCCGGAACAAAAATACTATCCCGCTCTATTCGCCACGTGGCACCGCCTGGCGGGGACCGACAAACTACGATTCCACGATTCGTCTCGTGACAACGCCGCGGGGACTAACAAAAACCACTGAGCCACTCCACGCGCCACATGCCAACGCCTTGGAGCGCGAGGAATCCATGTTCCATCCATTATACTCGTCACCTGGCAGCGCCTCGGGGGCTGGACAAAAACAACTCAACTATTCTACTACATTCGTCACGTGGCAACGTTGCGGGGACCGACAAATAGAACTATGCCACTACACTCGCCACGTGGTAACGATTGGAGGCGCGACGAACAAATATTCAGTTGTAGTCGTCACGTGGCAGCGTCGCGTGGACCGAGAAAACCAGTGTGTCACGACGACGACGAGGACGACGACGAGAACGACGACGAAAATGACGACGACGATGACCAGGGCCAGGGCCAGGGATGCGAACAACAATTCTATCCTATCCTCCTCGTCCTTCTTCCTCACCCCTCCCTTCTCCCTCCTCCATCCTCTCTCATCCTTCCTTCCTCCCCCATCCTCCCTCCTCCACATCCCCTCCTCCCCCCTCCTGACCTCCTCACTCCTCCTTCCTCCCCTTCTCTATACCTTCCTCCCTTCTCCTCCCTCCTGTCCTCCCCCTCGCCCTCAATTTATTGCAATGCAACGTCTTGCAAGCGCAATGCAAATGCAACGCAGTGCAACGCAATGCAACGCAACAGGATGCAATCCAATACAATGCAATGCAATGCAATGCAACGCAATGCAATGCAACGCGTCACGTGGCAGCGCCGTGGGAGCCGAGCAAAAACATGACCACGATGACGAGGGCCAGGGAGGCGAACAAAACTACTATCCTATCCTCCTCCTCGTCCTTCTCCCTCCCTCCTCCTCCCTCCTCCCTCGATCCTCCCTCATCCCTCCCCCGTTCCTCCCTCCTCCCCCTCCTTCCCCCCCCCTCCTCCCTCCTCAATGAAATGCAATGTACTACTCCTCCCTCCTCCCCCTCCCCTCCTCCTCCTTCTCCCTCCTCCCCCCTCTCCACCACCTCTGACGCGGCATCTCGGAACCCAGAGTTGCGAGGATGGCTCAAGCGAGACGCGCCCGACCACCTCGCGCACATTTTCTCAGAGCCTAGAGTTGCGAGGATGCTTCGGGCGAAACGAGCTGGACCACCTCGCGCAAATCTTCAAGGAGCCAGGAATTGCGAGGATATCTCAAGCGAAACGGGCTGGAGCACCTCGCGCGCATCATCTCGAAGCCACGAGTTGCAAGGATTCCTGAGGTGAATCTCCTCGCCATCTCCTTCTACACCTCGCGCCATCTGTCTTTCCCGGGCTCGGCGCGTCCCGCGGTTCCCAGGTTCGTGGTTCGGTTTCCGTGGGTCGCGCGCTTTCGATCTGGGGTTCGCGCTCCCGTTTCCCGGGCTGAGCTCGTTTCCTCGGGTCAAGGTTTTTGTTTTCCGAACTTGGCGGGGATGGCGCAAGCCTCTTCAATAATTGCACCGATCACCATCGTTGCTGGAGACAGGAGGTACGCTAAGGACTCTGCGTTGTAGGTCAGACCCTGCCCCCAATCGAAGAAGGGCGTCGTGTCTACCACTGTGGTGTAAGATACCGTATGGGTTACATCTTCGCTGACTGAAAGAGTAGTCGTAGCGCTTGACCGTCCGCCAATGACTGTGCCCAACGTGATGATCTCAAAGAGAGCCTCGATGAGACACATGAGACCAAACATGAACAAGCAGTATTGCGTCATGTTCCGACACGACCCCCTCACCATGTACCAAATGCAGAAAGCGATCGCTCCAGAGAAAAGCACGCCAAACACGTCAGAGGCGACGAGCTCAACAACGACCGTGGCCAACTGCAGAACGAATAACATCCACCAATACTTGGCGTGCTTTTGCTTGATAACAGCTGGGACCTCCGTGTGCAATCCGCCTCCCAGGGCACCCATGGGACCACCCATGGGACCACCCATGGCCATCATAACCATCGCTCCAGCTTCTGGCGAAGCGGCCCGCCGCCAGCGTCAATGTGGCTTCAGGAAAGCATGCTGGCAGGGGTGATGACCAGCGATGCGTCGTAGCTTGAGCCAAAACTGCGACTGAGGAGAATAATGAGGAGAGAAGAGACAACGAGAAACATCAGAACGACGGAGGTGGGGTCAGCATGATGAGATGACAGGCTGATCTGAAATCCGAAGAGACAGGCTGATGAATGTGTACACAAACAGATACAAATGCATCTTACATTTGAACCTGCCACGTGGGGCCCGCGTGCGGCGCGGAGTGCAGCGTCCGGTCGTCCCCTCGAGCCCGGAGAGCCCGGATACGGCCTTGAGCCAAAGGCTACGGACCCGGGTCACTGCTCAAGTGGAAGGCTTGGAGAAACAGCACATGAGAAGTGCAGAACTGAGGCAGGAGGGAGGGTTGTTCTCAGGTTCTTTGCCTCGTCCCTTCAGCCTCAGTTCTCAACCCTGATGACTCTTCAACAAAAGAGCCTGGACCCCAAAATCACACGCCTCTTGGGGCGTGTCGCAGCCCGTCGCGTGACCTGTTCGGGCCCAGGAGGGCCCCGAGAAGGACCAAGAGGGCCCCAAGATAAACCAAAGACGGCCCCGAAGCGTTGAACGATCGGCCCAGGACGCCCAAAGATGGCCTCCAGTCGGCCGAAAGAGCACCCAAGACGTGCCAAGAGTTTCAAGAGCCCTCCAAAGAGGGCCCCGAGAGGCCACAGTCCATGGTCGTCCTGGAGTTGTTCAACGTTTTCGGGGTTCTCCACTTCTCGAGCTGCCAACGCTCCAAGACATCCCAAGGGGCCCCCCAGACGACCCCAAGACGGTCGAAGAGGGCTCCAGACGGCCCAAGAGGCGCCCAAGACGGCCCAAGAGGACCCCAAGAGGGGCCCAACAAGGGGAACACGAACCGAACATCCGAGACTTCCGCCCCAAGAGGCGCCAGGAGGCCCCAAGAGGCCCCCAAGAGGCCCCCACGAGGCCCCCAAGATGCCCAAACCCAAAACCGCTCCCCTCCTCCCTCCTTCCTTCTTGCCCACGGCGCCGTCGGGAAATGCTCCTGTGTCACAGTCCACCAGCTCGGCGAACCTCCACCACAGCGAGTTTGGGATCCAAGGTCGCTGCTTTTGCTGGTGGATCTGTGCGGGAGACATCGTCGGGTGGGGAGCCTGGCTGGGGCGGCATCTGATAAATGATAACGCAGGTGCCCAAAGGTAAACTCAACGGGATCAGAAATCTCATGCTGGCCGAGCGCCGGTGCCACATGGGCCGCCACCCTCAGGCAACACGGAGGGAGAAGGAAACGCCGCCGCATTGCCGACAGGCCGAGATTCGCGCCCGCGCGCCGCTGGCGGCCTCGACATCAAGACTGGCTCGACATCCCGTCGGAGGTACTGTGCCCCTCTTGAATGCGGCGAGAAAGAATCGGGAAGAGGGCCCAGAGGACGAAAGTTGCCCTCCCAAGACAAGCTCGCGTCGTGAACAGAATCGCGACGGGATTGTTTCAGCAATGTTCGGTCTCCGGGAGCCCAAACGGGGATGAAAAGCCAACTCTGTGGAGAGGATCGGGGCTTCCGTGTAGACTGAATCGAAAACAACAAGACGTCGCATGTTGGAGATTCCTCCTCCTCCTCCTTCCCCCTCCTCCTCCAACCCTGCCTCCGCCAACTTACTGGACCCCTTGTCGTCGTCGTTGTCGTCGTCGTGATAGGTGTCGTCATGCTCCTCATTATACCATATCCTCCTCCTCCTGTTCCGCCTCCTCCTTTTCCTCAAGAAAATCATCCTTGTCCTCTTCCTACTTCTCCTCCGCCCGCTGGTCCGTCTCCTCATTCTCCTCCTTCCCGTCCACCCCTCCTCCGTTCTCCTCGCCCATATCGGCCCTCAGGAGCTGACCCCCACAGCTCGTCCCAAGCTTGCACGCAGCACGCCCCCGAGACGGAGCAACTTTTCCTCGAAGCTAGGGGCGAGCGCCTCAGCTCGCAGCTCCTGCGGTCGAGCTGCGCGCCTTCAAAGATGGCGGCGCCCTCTGCTGCGCAGGCGGTGCGGCTGCGCTCTGCACGGAGTTCAGAGGGTCATCCCCTGGAGAGGGCAATTTCTCAGGACTAGCATGGGCCGTACCGCGGGATCGATCTGGTTCCTGACACCGCGGGGATCGTTCGACCTTGAACGATCGGCCGTTTCCGAAACGTCAAATCATTCAACGTCGACCGATTCTGGGTCGCTGGCGGCGTTCAACGTTGAACGCCAGGCGGGGTCGCCGCCGGTCGACACGACGCGATCCTACCATATCTAAGGGCTTGCACCCTCGCCGATCGCGACCTCTTGCCAAGCGGCCTGACCACGGCGTCCGATCGCGATCCCGCCCGGTCACGATGGCAATGACAACGACCGCAGATCGCAGGCCTGCAGAGCAAGATTAGAGGTCGCAGGCGCGATTCTGACTGACCAGTGTATCGACTTCTGATCGCACCATTTCCCCGTGAATCACAGCCCCATCATGTGATATCACGCGTCACGCGACTAGAAGCCGTCTGCTGGAGAAGTGGATAACTTCTGGTCGCATCACGAACGAATAGTATGGTGACACTGGGCAGCCACACACACCGCAAAAACTGTTTGATCTCGCTTGGGCCACTCGGCAGGCCGGGTGTGGGGTAGGCCCAGGAGAGGTGAGACAGGGGAGCCTAAGGATGTGGGCGGCAGAGAGCTGGAGAGACTACGAAACGTAGATCACTGCCGGCGATTTCAGTCACCGCCTGCCCCCTCTCCTCATCATGATCCCACTGCCACTCCCACCCCATTCCTCCTCCTCCTCCTTCTCCTCCTCCTCCTCCTCCTCATCGTCATCATCATCATCATCATCATCATCATCATCATCATCATCAGCATCAGCATCAGCATCAGCATCAGCATCAGCATCAGCATCATCATCATCATCAGCATCATCATCATCATCATCAGCATCATCATCATCATCATCATCATCATCATCATCATCATCATCATCATCATCATCATCATCATCATCATCATCATCATCATCATCATCATCATCATCATCATCATCATGCTCCTGCTCCTACTCCTGCTCGTACCCTTAACCCCATGAAGAAACACTCTTACTGGCCACCTGGCCAGCACGCAGCAACTGCATCCACGAGGTCCCATCCTACCCATCCAAAGATCATGCGAAATCGACGCTTTCCATTTCAACATGGACGTTGGGTCGTCGACGTTGCAAAATACGGGGCAGGAGTAGTTGCACCGCGCGAAAAAGGGAAAATGCCGACCTCGCCTCAGAACCGCGGTAATGGAGTCTCCGCTGGGCGCGGCGACCACTTTTCGCTTGCCAGTTCGTCGACCTGCGACCCCACATAAATGTCACTCTCGCCTCGGCGCCGCGCAGATTTCGCCTGGAAGTGGCGCGTTCTGCGCGGTGCTATTTTTAACTCGCCAGGTCGCTGGGGGAGGGGCCGCGCGTGACAGGACGACTTGTCGCCCCCTGCCCATGTTCTGTACAGATCTTGCCTTGAAGTGACGTTCCCGTGCGGGCGCGGCTTCTGTTTCGCTCGCCGAGTCTATGAAAGCCGCACCGGCAGCGGGGCCGCGCTGGAGCGGACGAAATGCTGAGATGCTGTCAACGCACATTCGCCGCTCAACGTGTGCGCGTGTGTGCGTGTGTGTGTGTGTGTGTGTGTGTGTGCGTGTGTGTGTGCGTGTGTGTGTGTGTGTGTGTGTGTGCGTGTGGCCAGCTTCACCATTATGACTCCAGCAACATCAACACAAACACCAGCTGCGCCGCCACCGACTCAAGCTGCCCCTGACCGACACCTGCAGCACCACCACCAACTCCAGCATTGCCACGACTAACCATCGACCCACTCCAGCAGCAACAGTGCGTCTTCCAGCAGCATCCATACCTACCCCTGCTGCACCACGACCGACCCCAGCAGCGCCAGACCGGCACCAACAGCTCCACCACCAATTCCAGCAGCACCACGACCAATCAGCGACCCACTCCAGCAGTACCTGTGCGATTCCAGCATCATTAACACCAGCCCCAGCTGCACCACGACTGGCTTCAGCAACACCTGGCCAACACCAACGGCACTGCCACCAACTCGAGCAGCACCACGACCAACCAGCGACCCACTTCAGCAGCACCAGTGCGACGCCAGCAGCGCCCTATCCCAGCTGCACCACGACCGACTCCAGCAACACCTGGCCTGCTCCAACAGCACCACCATGACCAACCAGCGACTCACTCCGGCAGCACCAGTGCGACCCCAGCAGCATCAGCACCAACCACGACTGCTCCACGGCCGACTCCAGCAGCACCTAACCGACACCAACAACACCACCACCAACTCCAACAGCACCACGACCAACCACCGACCGGCCCTCTCCAGCAGCACCAGTGCGACTCCCGCGGCCTCACCAGCCCTCCTCCAACGCTACGACGAGCACGTGCGAGAAGGACTGATAGTTGAAGCGGGTCGTGACGGCGGTGGCTGCCCGATGGGAGGAGCGAGGAGGGACGACAGGGGCGGCGTGGATGGTGTCGGCATGACGGGGAAGGACGGCAGTGGCAGCGTGGTCGAGGAGCAGGAGTGGGGAGGAGGGAGGGGCGGCAGTGGTAGCACGTAAGAAGGCGCGCGCGATGTTAAGAAGGTGGGTCAAGAGTCAAGAGTGTGGTTTCCGGATGTGGGGTAGGCAGGCGGGCGTCGTAGTGTGCGGGTAGAACTCATTACGCCTTGCGGCTCGCCAGGCTGCTCTGTGGAGAGCGGCGCGATGAACAGAGGAACCGTCTTTAGTCCCCGCTGACCGTGGGAAATCAAACAGACTTCTGCACTGCCAGCCCTCTGCGCGCCTGGCCGCGGTCACCACTGGCCGCCGCCCGCGCTTGCCCGACTCCCTCCGCCCCTCCGCCCCGCCTGGCGGACCCTCCCTGCGGGGCCGCCAGCTCCCCGCCGCGCTGTTGCACCTGTCCAGTGCCTCCTCCGCCCCCCCGTGCACCCGCGGTGCCACCCCCCGCGCGCACACGGCCCCCCACTCAAATGCTGCGCTCGCTTTTCTGCCCGCTTGCCCTGCCCCCCCGCCGTGGGGGGCCTCTGGTCTCCCGGCGCGCCGCGCTGCTCGCGCCCTGCCCTTCCGGCGGCGGCCGCTGCGTTTGTCCTCCGGCGGGCTGGTCATGCCGCTCGCCGTTGGCTCCCGCGCGCCTCCTCCCCGGTCGCCCCCGATGCTGCAGCCATGCCGCCCCGCTCGCCGGGTTGGAGGCCCCTGCCCCGCCGATGCATCGCCTGCCTCGGCAGGTCGGATCGCCGTCCGGGGCCGGCTGGCTCTGGCCGCTCCCCTGGCCGGCCCTCTCCTCTTTACATGGTTTTCAGGCCAGCCCGCAGTCCTCGTGCCGGCTTAGCGGGTTGGTTTGCTTGCTCGCTGCTCCGCCCACCGCGGTCCCTGACCCAGGTACCGGGCACCCATCCTCTGCGCCTCGCAGGTCCATGGATCTCGGCCCTCCCCAGCTACCCCCCGGCCCCTCTCCCGAAGTGGTCTTCTCTGGTTGCTCTGCCGCTTGGAAGGTCGGCTCGACCTCGGCGCTCAGCCGCCTCGCTGTGCTGCCCATCCCCTGCACTGTCTGGGCCTGTTATCCCTCCGCCTCGCGCGGTTGCCTCTGGCTGCTGCCCTCCCCGGCAGTCCTGCGGCCGCCGCCCCGCCGCCCCGGCGCTGCCCCGCCGCCGCCTGGCCCCGCTCTGAGCGGGCCCCGCCTCCGTCTCCCCTCTGCCCGCGATGGGCGTTCGCTCTCGCCAATCGCGGCTTCATTAGCACTTGTATGCCCTACACTTGCTCCATCCGCCAGCGCAGTCACTCTGCCCAGCCGCCGACGCAAAAAATGTGGCCCCCCCCCCGGCGCCGCCCCCTGCCGCCGCCTGGCCCGGCTGTGAGCGGGCCCGGCGTCCTCCTCCTCCTCCTCCCCGCCGTCGCCGGGCGCCTCCCTCCTCCCCTCGCGCATCGCGGCTCGATTCGCACCTGTTCGTCCAACATGTGCCCTTCCGCCAGCGTAGTCACTCTGCCTAGCCGCCGACGCAAAAAGTGTGTGTGTGTGTGTGTGTGTGTGTGTGTGTGTGTGTGTGTGTGTGTGTGTGTGTCTGTGTGTGTCTGTGTGTGCGTGTGTGCGTGTGTGCGTGTGTGCGCGCGTGCGTGCGTGCGTGCGTGCGTGCGTGCGTGCGTGCGTGCGTGCGTGCGTGCGTGCGTGCGTGCGTAAAACTGGTACTGCTGCTTCGGCGCGGCGCATGCCTTGCTTCGCCGCGCTCCACGGCAACTTGGCCGCCCGACCGAGGGTGCGAAATGGTGATCTCGCCGCAGCGCCGCGCGCGGGAGCTGCTGAAGGTTCCGCTTCTGCCCACGCGCGGCCCGCGGTGTTTCCCCCTCGGCAGGTCGTCGGCAGCGGGGCCGCGCGCGAGCGCCCTCCGCTCGCTGGGTATGAGCGCGCCTCAACTCCTCCTTCCCCTCCTCCGTCCTTCTCCATCCCTCTCTCCGCGACCCCCTTCCTAGCATCGCCCTCTCCCTCTCCTCGTCCTCGTCCTCCTCCTCCTCCTCCTCCTCCTCCTCCTCCTCCTCGTCCTCCTCCTCGTCCTCCTCCTCCTCCTTCTCATCCGTTCGCCAGGTAGGAACGCGCCTCAGCGCCAGTGCTGAGATGTACGTGCAACCACTGCGTGGGAATCAGCGGGGGGCCCGCTGGCTCGCTCGACCTGGCCGAGCCGACGCCAGCTGGCACTTCTGCCCATGCCCGTGTCCGAGTGACGCCCGTGCGGAGATCTCAGACGCACACTCATACGTCTGTCCCCGCTCCTTACTCCTGTGCCACCGCCTCCTTCCTTCGCCATCCCTGTTCCCCGTGCTCCTCCTCACAGTACCGCCATCTCCGCCTCCTCCTCCTGCTGCTCCTCCTCCTCCTGCCCCTACTCACCCTCCCGTCCCCGTCAAAACCATCACCGCCGCAAAGCCCAGTTTCTTGGTGCGAGCTCCCTTCTTCACGTTCCACTATTCGTCCCCCTCTTCCTCCTTTCCTTCCTCCTCCTCCTCTTCTTCCCCTATTCCATTCCTCCCCCGACCTGTCCTACCCTTCCCGATGCCATCAATCACTGCTCATACGCGTGGGAGCTTTGTGTGGGGGGGATAAACGCAGGTGTGGATGCCAGAGGCCATAGCGAAGTCGGCCAAACAACATCCACACTACTCCGTCTCTGCACTTCCAACCTGCCGCTTTCCACAGCACGGACCGGGCACTCCGGAAACTGCGCTCGTCGAGTGGTAGCACCGGGCACGCGCGAGACACCTATGCTCCGATCGCCGCCTACCCTAACTGGGCGGCGCGCCGAGGGGGGAACCGAGAGGCGGCAGGGCTCCTCAGAAGACGGTGGAGGTTCTCAGAGGCCCTCTGGCCTCCGGAGAAGCCATGTGGCTTCGGAGGAAAACGCCAAGGAATCTTGTCAGAAGACCGGAGGCCTTCAGAGCCTTCTGAGGAGGCACGCCTCCTCCACCTTCCCCTCCTGGGCACGCCACCGATAGACTATCCGCACCCTCGGTCCTGCGCCGCTCTCACCTGGTCTTTGGAGCGAAGTCGTACTCGGGGGCCTCCCCGGTGGCCGTCGGCATGAGACTGCCGTGCTTCCTCTCCCTGCTCCTCTTGCCGCCTGCAGCCGCCGTGCTATCCTCAGGAGCCCGGCGTGAGGAACGGAGGAGCTCTTGTCGCCGCGGCGAGCCTGGGCCACGGGCAGGTGCCCCGACCTGACAGTCTGAGGGGCGGCCCGCAGACCGGAGCCTGTCCTGAGCCCGAAGTGGTCCTTACCGCAGCGCCTTCGGTAAGGCTTTGCGCTGCGCGCAGTCGGCCCTCCCAGGTAGCCCCAGCTGGCCTCAACAGGCCCCCCGAGTAAGTCCCAGCTGTCCTCCTCCTCCTCCACCTCCTCGTCCTCCGCCTCCTCCTCATCCCGCTCCGCCTCTTCGTGCTCCCACATGCGCCTGCCCGTTTCCCGACACATGCGTATACATCTCGTTCCCCCCTGTCCCCCTTCTTATCCCCCCTCCCGTCTTCATCACCCCTGTTCCCCTCCACCCTTCCCCTATTGAACCCCCATCCTTCTCCATTCCATGCCCTGCACAAAAACCCAATCAGACCTAACAGAAAAGCTGTTTCAACACGTGCCGTTCTCAAACGTAGCGCATGGAAACAATTTCGGGCAATCGGAATATCAAAGGCACTGGCTATCATCTCGTGACATCCGTGGCCAGTAGTGGTGGCATGTGCCTTATGGTTCGAAGAGAGAGAGAGAGAGAGAGAGCATGAGTGAGTTTGTGTGTGGGGGCGCGCGAACTCCAGTGAAACAGACTACGACTACGTAAGACGAGCAAGCCACCCTACGACCAGCCAATAGCCACGTTACGTTGTCTCAAAAACAACCTTGTAGCCTCTCTATGCATATACCTGGCCAGGTCTCCCTCTTCCATAAAAAAGCAGAAGCCATGCGAGGCGATGTATTGCGCTCAAAGGTCCTGCGTCAAGGCACTTGCAAGGCCCCTCGCCACGGATGTTATCGAGCTCGAGACCCCTAAAACTATGAGAGGGAAATGTCCGATGAGTATGCCTCTCGTACTGAGTCATCTCGTACTGAGTATGCCTCTCGTACTGAGCCATCTCTTTTAAAAAAAAAGGCGAGGGGAAGCAGTGTACGTCCCCCTTCGTCCTCATCCGTCCACAGGTTCCTCCAAGTCCAGTTGCCAACATCTTCCTCTACATCCTCCCGCCTGCTCCTTCCCAGAGAGCCCCTACGGAGGCTGTGATGCCAAGGTCCCTTGCAGGATCAATGCCGCACTGCGGTTGGCTATGACTTTGCAGTCCACGCCAGCGACAGCTACAGTAGATCTTGGAGCGGGATGGGGAGGGGGACAGACAAGAAGGAGGAAAAGGAGGGACGAGGAAAAAGGACGCATCCGTGAGCCAGCGTAGACTGTCCAAGGGGGTCCCAGATCATAGACCCAGACCCTCTCAATAAATGCGATCGCGACATGCAGGCCCCGACCCCAAAGGTGGAATTCCAACACGCTGTCACTGAACCGCGACCTTGCTTTTCCTCATTCTCTTCCGCCTCCCCTGCCCTTCACCTCCCACAGCCCCTCCGCCCCTTCCCCCGCCTCCTTCCTTCCTTCTCCGCCTTCTCCTCCGCCTGCTCCGCCTCCTCCTCCCCTCCTCCGCCTCCGTTCTTCCGCCTCCTCCTCCTCCTCCTCCTCCTCCTCCTCCTCCTCCACATCTTACTTCCCCCTCGGCCTGGACCACGGGCACGCACGCTCTGCGCATCTCCGCCGCGCTGGCCCCGCGCAGGCACGGTCGTTGCGGCCACGGCCGCAGCAGCCCCAGCTCTGTTCCGCTCCGTGCAGCTCCGCGCCGGCGCTGGGCAACAGCCCTCGGCGCTCCCCCCCGCCGCAGTCGGCAGGTCTGGTCGTACCTGCCCGCCCTCCTTTCCCCGGACGCGCCTCGTAGGCCCGCAGGTCTCGGCGCACTGGCCCTTCCCTGGTCTGTGCTCTGTTCCCTGGGCCAGGCTCTGCTACCGTTGGTTTCTCCACCGCCCGCTGCAGCTCAGTGCTGCTTCCCCCCCAGCTTCAGCTCAGTGCGGCTCAGTGCAGCTCAATGCCGGCGCTGGTCCCCCACCTCGGCGTTTCCCCCGCCGCTGCCGGCAGCTCTGAGTGGCCCGGCTTCTTCTCCCCCAGTCGCGCTGGGGATCCTCCTCCTCCTCCTCCTCCTCCTCCTCCTCCTCCTCCATCCGTACATTGCGGCCTTAATGTGCATACCGCGTGTCCCTTGTTGCCAATCCGCTGGAGCAGTCGCCCTCTGCCCAGCCGCCGACGCAAGAAGTGTGTGTGTGTGTGTGCGTGTGTGTGCGTGTGTGTGTGTGCGTGTGCGTGTGCGTGTGCGTGTGCGTGTGCGTGTGCGTGTGCGTGTGCGTGTGCGTGTGCGTGTGCGTGTGCGTGTGCGTGTGCGTGTGCGCGTGCGCGTGTGTGTGTGTGGGCGTGGGCGTGGGCGTGGGCGTGGGGGCGTGTGGGCGTGTGGGCGTGTGGGCGTGTGGGCGTGTGGGCGTGTGGGCGTGTGGGCGTGTGGGCGTGTGGGCGTGTGGGCGTGTGGGCGTGTGGGCGTGTGGGCGTGTGGGCGTGTGGGCGTGTGGGCGTGTGGGCGTGTGTGGGCGTGTGGGCGTGTGGGCGTGTGGGCGTGTGGGCGTGTGGGCGTGTGGGCGTGTGGGCGTGTGGGCGTGTGGGCGTGTGGGCGTGTGGGCGTGTGGGCGTGTGGGCGTGTGTGTGTGTGTGTGTGTGTGTGTGTGTGTGCGTGCGTGCGTGTGTGTGTGTGTGTGTGTGTGTGTGCGTGTGTGTGTGTGTGGCCGCAATACCTCCTCGTCTGGCCCTCGTCGCGTCATAACTCGGGTCTCTGGTGGCCGTTCGGGACGACCTGGGCACCCCCAGAACGCTGTCGGCTGGGCGCAGCCGCTGGAAGGCGTCCCGAGGCTGGAAAGCCGACGAGAACCCACTAGAACGCCCGCAGTGGGCGACAGAAGCGCTCCCCGAGGGCGGAAAACGCACCCCGAGGCTGGAAAGCCGCGGGGAGCCGACGAGAACGCCGAGCGGGGCGGGTGCACCCGCGCACTCGCCCCGCCCTCTCGGCGTCGGCGGCGGCCCGTGCCTCGGGATGGAACTTCCTGACTTGCAGCGCAAAGTACTTGCGCAGCATGGGCTCGTCGAGCTTGACGCCCTCCTCCCCCCGCGGGCCGCGCGCCTCTGCGAGACTGGGGCCCGAGCGGCCGACGAGTCGGCGTCGACCAGTGCCGAGGCGCTTCTGCGCGCACGGTCCCGCCCTCTGCCCCGCTCTCTCCGCGGAGCCTCCTCCGCGGACGCCTGCTGCCACCTGCCGGCACCAGCCCTGGCCGAACCAGCTTGAGGGTCCCAAGACGGTGCGGTGACGGACCGTGCGGTGACCTCTGAATCCCCCGAGAGACCTCAAGGCACGGTCCGCCACCGCACCGTTTCGGGACCTTCGAAGCCCTGGTCGCCTGAAACGTCCTCCGAGAACCACGCAAGCCTCAAAATCGTGGGTTCACCCCGAATCCCCACTGAGACGAAGACGACGCGGCGACCACCGAGGACGACGGCGACAGCGACGGTGACAGCGACCACGACGACAACGACCATGACGACGACGACGACGACCATGACGACGACGACGACGACGACGACGACGACGACGACGGCGACGACGACGACGACGACGACGACGACGACGACGACGACGACGAGCTCGCCATACTGTGTGGTCACGGCGCCGTTCCAGGGGCCCCTGATTAATCCCCTGGGCCCCCTGGGCCGGTGCACGGACCCCCTGGCTGCGGGGAGAATCCGCTCGTCGTCGTCGCAGTCTCGCTCCTGGGCCCAAGGGTGTGGGCCTCACTCCTTTGCTTCCTCCTCCTGATCAATGAGCCGTCAACATACCGCGGCCGAGTCCGCTTTGCGAACGCAATCACGGAAGATCCCCGTAGTATGTCTCGCCACTGCGCTTCGCCCGATTTCCATCGCCTGCAATGCTATATGTCGAAGTGCTTGGTGCTGTGGAACTGTTATCCGCGTTCCTTGGCTGTTGCCTCTCTCTCTCTCTCTTTCTCTCTCCATCTCTCAAAATTTGCGCAAAAACCATCTTGCCTCGGCGAGGGTGGCAATCAACTGCACTGTTCGTTTCTGGGACTGACGCGCCCGCGTCGCTCGCACGGTCCTCGGAAGGCATCTGCCTCCCCACACTTCATTGCCGCTGCTTTCAGCACTCTGCCCAGGTCGCAGTGTGGAAGTCCGCACGCTGCGAGCATCTGCGGACGGCCGTGCGACCTGCGCTGGCTCCGGGCACCTGCCGAACATCCCAACCCCAAAGATCACGGCTCCGTTTCCACAACCGCCCGGCCGTGCAGTTACCCTCGGCTCCAAAAGCTGTCCGTATCCAGCCCCCAGGCGCAGGGCTCCCTCTAGGCGCCCGCAGAAGTCCCCCGGGACGGCCCCAAGGACCGAAACACCACCAGACCCCCGCGGGTAGTCCCACGGCAGCCGAGGTCGGTCACCAGACGCCTGCTACGCATGAGAAGCTTCAACGGTTCAGCGAATAGTTCCAGCTTCCCCTATGCACTGACGAGCACGAGGGTCCTCATGCTCATTGGATGGGCGAGCAGGAGAGAGACTCTTCCATGTTCTCCAGGAGCTGGCTGCCTTGCAACTTCCACTGCGCGCGTAGCACATCCCTCTACCCTACTGCGCAAGATGCGGCCGACCCTGCCATTGATACCACTGGACGCTTCGGGCGTGCGCGCACCTACTCACGAGCGCGCTCGCAGTCGCCCAGAAAACTCAGACGAACCGAATACACGGAGAGAGAGAGAGTGCCGCCACTCTCACACCGCTCATATATATATATACACATCTATATATATATATATATATATATACATACATATATATATATATGTATGCACATATATGCGCCTGCATAAGGCTGTGATGGTAGGAGGCTTCGAGGTGATCCTGTGGAAATGCAAATGACAATGGAAAGCCGTGACAAAAAAGAAGATGAGAGCAGCCACTCCTCCGCATCGAATTCGAGGACCACCATCTTGCTAGCGGTTGTCTCCGTGGCGGGGTTCCTAATATCCTTGCGGCGGCGTTGAGTGGCAAAGGCGTCGGTGGCCAACCAAGATATCACTATCCTAGGAAGAGGAAGCTACAAACAATTATCATCGTGGCACGTGGACTCCAACGGTTGAGGCAGGAGCAAACCATATGTGTGGAACCTGATGTGTGTGTGTGTGTTTGTGTAAGTGTGTGTGTGTGTGTGTGTGTGTGTGTGTGTGTGTGTGTGTGTGTGTGTGTGTTGCTCTGTGTTTGGAACCCCATGTCTGGAATCTGGTGAGTGGAACCCGATGTCTGGAGCCATCTGTGCGGAAACCTGCATGATGACCTTATCTGTGTGAAACGCGGGTGGAACCATATGTGCGTGTGTACTGTGAACTCGGTGTCTGTGTAAAATCCTATGCCTCGAATGCTTTGTGGGGAACCCTGTCTGAGGGAAGCTCTGTATGGGTGGACCGCAGGTGTTGAGCCCTATGCCCCCCTTACCCTTACATGTTACATCCATCCTGTTTTCCCTTCATCGTCAACCTCCTCCTCCTCCTGATCTATGTGATCCTCCCTGTCCTCTTCCCTAGTATCCTCGTCTTCCTACTTCTCCTTCTCCTCCACATCAGTATACCCTTCCTAACCGTCTTGTGTTGTTCTCACTCCTCGTCGCTCCCCTCCTCCTCCTCATCCTCCTCCTCCGTTCTCGTCTCTTCGTCGCCTCATCATCGTCCTCTGGCACGGATTCTCGCATTCATCCTCCCTCTCCTCATTATTTCCCTTCTCCCGCCCCTCCCGTCTCCTTCCACCCAAACTCCTCCTCCTCCTCCTCCTCATCCTCCTCCTCCTCCTCCTCCTCGTCCTCCTCAATCCCCTCTCCTCCTCATCCTCCTCTTCTTCCTCCTCCCCCTCCTCCTCCTCCTCCTTCTCCTCGTCCTCCTCCTCGTCATCCTCCTCGTCCTCCTCCTCTTGGCCACCTCCCTTAGCCTGCAAGAGCAGGCGGGCGAGCGGGACGGCGACCCAGCGCTGGGGCGGCGTCCTTGAACAGCGGGTGTTCCAGCGCCTCCTCCCAGGGCCATGCTCCAAGGCACTACAGTCATGAGTCATGAGGCAGTTACTGTTGTAGGAGGAGGAGGAGGAAGAGGAGGAGGAAGGAAAAGGAGGAGGAGGGGAGCGCGACCAGAACTCCACACGCCTCGGCCTCAACCGCTGCGCGACTCAAAAAGTTGCCAGGCAAACCGGGGACCTCATGCAGGCCAACCTGCGATGGGCAAACTCGTGCAGTAAGAAAGCGCATCGTTAGGCACTGTGCGGCGTCGGTGAAGGTCACAGTGCTGACTCGGCGTCAGTCTGCACACTCCTCTGGCAGACGTCCATCATCCAGCTAGCTCCCCCCGCGCCGCGCAGCGGAAGCCTGGGCTCACTCTATGGGAGAAGTATGCAGACCCTGCGCTGTCCGATGCAACGCTGACAGTCGACACAATGCATTCCTGAACATGATCACACACAAACGCAATATGGCGGGAAACTTTCGCACGCGTTGTGCTCTGGCAGCACCACGCGTTGGGACAGGAGCGATGGCACCGAGAGCAGTGGCACCGAGACAGTTCACAGGTGCGTGCGCCAAGAGACTGTGCAAAGATAACTGGTTGCATCATGTGGGGAAAAGCCAAGAAGGAACAATGCTAAGACACTTTATAATATGTTGTGGACACGTGCAAGAACAGTGTCTGTCAACAAGTGGCGGACGTAGCTGACCGCTTAACTGTATGATACGAGTGGCGCAAGAAAAGAGCAAGGAAGCTTTGGGAAGGGATAGGGGCAGATCAAAGCGGGCTGACGGCAAGCCCGAGGGCGCCGCGGAAGGACCCTGCCGGCTGGACAACGTCACGCAACGCGTAACATCAACACAGTGCCGCGAGGCCGGGCCAGAAGACAGGTAAGCGCACTCTGCGACAGGCGACAGGAATGAATGACAAGGCGAGGCCAGAAGGAGGAGAGAGGACAACAGGACAAGTGGCTAGAAACTCGAGCGACACCACCCGTCGCATAGGGTGCATCTGCTGTAGCTGATCCGAAGAAGCCTGCGCAACATATGTCGACGGTAGAAAAAACCAATGAGAAACGGACAGGGCAGTGCGGCAGCCACGTAGAGAATTCCCCGCATGCAGCATGAAATCCAAAGTGCACGCACACACAGCCACACACGCACACGCACACGCAAACGCACACACACAAACCGACACACACATATATATACACACACACTCTCTCTCTCGCCTTTCCAGAAAAACACACTTGTTCAATGCGCGCATGCGTTTGGGGGAACGCGACGTCCGTCAAAACCCCCATGCTCCACATGAGGGGTGCAAAGATGTAGAGGCAGCGGACGCTTAGGGACGCAGCAGGGTCAAACGCTGAACTAGCGGAGGATTTGCGCGAGAGGAAACAAAGGGGGACGACAGAGAGGGCAGAGGGCTGGGACAGGGACGAGGAGAGGGGGAGAGCTGCAGCAGCCGCAGCAGAAGCAGTCGGCTCTGCAACAGACTCACTGGGCTGAGGCGAGCTCAGGATACGGAGGCCTCGGCAGCCCAAATGTCCAAGCAGTATGTTGCGGGGACGGGGGTGGGGCAGCTGTGGGAGCTTGGGAGTGGCAGTGGTTCAGCTGGGGCTGTGGCACACACAAAGAAACACAGACGAAAACGAAGTGTGCCAACTATTTCTTCGCCCGCGACTCCTTTCACGCACTCCGCAACAGAAAACTCGGCGCCCATGGGGGACACCTGTTATGTCATGGCCGCGACCCTGCCAGCGCCACGCGCATGCAACGAGTGGACCCGTGCTCCTGCATAATTGATGAAGGGGCGCTGGCTGGTCCCTCTCTCTGTCTCCTTGTCCCCCCCAACCCCGAGGAAGATACAGCTGCAAAAGCACACGGCGCCCGAAGCACAGCGCGTGATTTCTGGGATCGGCGCTTGGGCCCTCCCCCTCCTGGCGCGCGGCGCGAGCCAGGAGCGGCGCCAGAGGCGCCGCCTGGGGGGGCCACGGCGCAGATCCGAGCAATCCGCGCGGAGGTCCGAACGTTTCCGTGTCGGGCAGTTTCCTGCCCCTTGATGTGTATGGCCCACTGCTCTGCCCTCCCCAGGAGCAGCAGCCCAGACGCCCCCTTCACCCCTCACCCACCCCTCCAGGAGAGCCCAGCATCGGATCGATGAGTCGAAACGGCGATCGAAATTAATCGAATCGGGGCAAATCGGCAGCCAGGTCGGGAGGAGTCGAATCGGCGGAAATCGGCAGCCTAATAGGCCCCCATGGAGGAATCGGACCCCAAACCGGAATCCGAGGCCGAACCGAATCGCAACGGGAATTCATCGAAATCGAATCGAATCGAATGGGAGGAATCGAAATGAGCCCTGCCCCTCACCCGCGACCGCGAGACAGGCCTTCTGCACACCTCGCCCGCCCAGGCGTTCGACCCTTTCCCCAGGGACGGTTTTTCATCCTGGGCCTTTTTGTGATACGGTAGAGGCTCGACCACAAAAAACCTCCCACAAGAAATCCAACCCTGAGACCCCAGGACGTCCACTGATTTTGGGTGTGGGAGCTTCACGCTTCCCATGGCGAAACCATCGAAACCCAAGAAACCCAGGGCACCCTGGAGG